CGGGCCCAGATGCGATGATCGCCAAGCTGAAGTGTGTTCCTCAGTTCTTGAAGTGTAAAAGGCACATTATACCGTTCTTCTCAGAAGAAGAAAAGTCCCAAGGGTTGCTAACTCTCTGGCAGACTTTGAGGAAAGAAAATGAGGGAAAGATGGAGTCCCCTGCAAATACGACCATAGATTGCCAATTTTCAAAAACGTCCTGAACGAGCACAAGCAGGAGACCACCAAGCACGCATTTCTGAGAATCCTGCCCCGACGATTGGGTAATAGAATGAGAAGCTGCGGTTAAAACGGAGGACGAGAAGAGGTGTAAAAGCTCATCGATGGAGGACGAAGAAGGAACCTCTCTAAAAACAGTTAGGTGTGAGTAAAGGTTCCAATTTGCCTGATCAAATTGCCAGCGTGGGATGTGAAGAGGTGGTGAATATGAAGGGGAAGTAAGAATGATTGGGAAATGATCGCTGTCATGCAAGTCCGGAAGAACAGACCAAGTGAAGTCTAATGCGGCTGAGGAAGAGCAGACAGATCGATGCAAGAGAGAGTGAGTCCAAGGATCAAAATGGGTGTGAGTACCTGTATTTAAAACATGGAGGGGGTGGGCGGCAAGAAAAGCCTCTAACTGAATGCCACAGGAATCACAGCGAGACCCCCCCCCCCCCCCCAGAGGAAACGGTGGGCATTAAAATCGCCAAGTAACAGAATTGGTGGTGGTAATGACGAAACAAGGAAGGCAATATCCGGAATAGATAATGCCCGAGAAGGAGAGAGATAAAGAACAGAACGTATACCACCTATGCAAGTGGATACGGGCTGCTGTGTAATGCAGCGAAGTATACGAACAAATAGCTGATGGTACGGAATATCAGTGCGGAGAAGAAGGGCACTTTCATTAAAGGTCCCATCAGGAAAAGGATCTGAAGAATACAATAAATTATAGTCTGAGATAGGAGAGATAACAGCAGTGTAATTTTGGTTCCTGTAAGCAAACACCAACAGGGGAAAACTGGGAGAGTAACATCTGAAGCTCACCCCAATTACCCCTGAGGCCGCGTATATTCCACTGTAAATAGGCCATGATTGGCAGTGATAAAGATACCTGAAATCCGCAGGTAAGGGTTCCTACGGACTAGAGGGGTTAGAAAAGTCCACATGCGGAGGCAGTGGAAAACGTTCAAGCAGCGAAGGAACGGTGCGCTGTGAAGAAAGGAGTTGCCCAGATGGAGTAGAGGAGAGAGAAGGAGCGGAGGGTGGATCAGTGTCCATTGATGGTTTGGTCTCTGCAATATATTCAGAGATTGCTTCAAGTGTTTCAGAATTCAGAGACGTCGTATGGAAGACAATATTGGAAATGGTAGGGGGAGGATGAGTAAAGATTGGAACTGTAATGGACTCTACCAAGGTAGGGGGGGACGGAAGGGTGGAGGGAACTGGAGAAGCGTGGAAGGGGACAGAAGAGGCAGAAACCTGGGAGGTGGTCGAAGAGGAAGAAACTTGGGAGGGAACAGGGGAGGAAGGTACAATACGAGGAGGAGGGTGAACCTCTACACTTGTAACAAAGCCAGTGAGAGGGGGAGAACCAGGTACAGAGACAGGGAAGGAAAAATGAGGAGGTGGAAGATGGGTAGGAGGTGTTAACAGACCTTTTTTTGACTTGAGAAGTAGAGGGACGATTGAGAGGTGTCATACGAGATCTCGTCGCTACTGAGGCTTGTGAGAGAACACCAAGAAGCAAGATCAGACAGACGAAGTAGGGACGTCTGAGCCGAGGACAGCAAAAGAATTGGCTACAGGAGTGACTATGGGAGAGGTAACCACAGAGGTGGGTGCAGAAGATGGGATACAAGAAGTGGGGGGACGTTTTGAAACCCGGGAATAAGAAACATGAGGTAGTCTCCCTTGGAGGCGGAGATGAGAAACTGCCATGGCACAAGGGAGACCTTCTGCCTCTTTGAGGCAACGGATTTCCCGCTCGTTTAAGTAAACTTGACAACGGCGAGAGTACGAAGGGTGAGCCTCATGAGAATTAAGGCAAGAGGGAGGTCAATTGCAAGATGTATTAGAATGGTCATCGGCACCAGACTGGGCATTCGGCAATAGATCTGCAATATTTTGCTGGATGGCCAAATCGCCAGCAATTTCTACACTGTTGCGGTGTAGGAATCACCTTTCGAACTTGTAACCGATGTCCTGCTACATAAACTGAGGATGGGAGTTCACGGCTGTCAAAAGTTAAACGAGCCACATTGCTAGGGTATCGTCTCCGCCCGCGGGCAGGAAGAACGTAAGTGTCTACCTTGAGGATTGGGAGATCTTGGAGTTCCAGCTGTTCAAGAATGTCAGTGCCACATGTCTGGAAATTTTGTTGAACTATGGTATGGGGCAGAATGATGGTACCACTACAAGAATTGAGGGAATGATGCTTTTCAAGTTACAGGAACAGTATCGATATGGGAAAGACGAGAAAGCTCATGAGCCTGGGTAGCATTCTGTACGGTGACGATGCACGTACCGCTCTTAAGAGCATGAAAAGAAATATCTTTACCAACATGGCGTAGGAGTGCCTTGCCAATACTGTGGTCAGAAAGATAGGCAGTAGAGGAAGTCGGTCGTAAAGTGAAGAATTTAGTCCATTGTGCAGTCTGAAACTGAGCGTGGAAAGGTAGTGAAGGACGTGTCGATCTTTTCTGAGAAGAACGAGAAGGTGGAGCAGTATCATCAGCAGGTAATTGTCGTTGTCGTTTAGGCGTGGGACCAGAGTTGGTCCGACGTGGAACGGGCCGGCGATTCGAAAACTGCTGCACCGTAGAGGGAGAGGCCGGAAGCAGTCAGAGGAGAGCGAAGGTCAGATAAATCGAAGGAGTCAGTCGAGGCCTCAGTACCTGAAGCGGGTGAGGAAACAGCACTGGCAAGAGGTACAGAGGCATGAGGAGTGTCCGAAGAGTGGTCCAAAGACGAGGCGGGGTCAGAACGGAGTGCGGTATCAAGAAGGGGCCCGGGGGTAGCAGGTTCATGGACTAGGGCTGCCATGGTTAGGTTACTTCTTTCTTTTTGTTTTTAAGAAAAAAAAGAAAAAAAATAAAAATAAGAAAAAAATAAAGGGGGGGACCGGGGAGGGATAGTTCCTAGGAGGAATGAAAGGGCCAGAAATCTCCCTCCGCGCCCAAGAGGACCTCAGCACCGCAAGTAGCGCAGATGCAGCATGGAACCCGTGCCATACCCTACCCATCATGCCAGTAAACCGGCAATCCGGGATAGCAACCTCACATTTGCCGAGCTACCTCAGTGGACAAAAGAGGGCGGCCGGAAATCCGCCACAAAGCATACCTCCTTCGGCCACCACCCCCAGAATCCGAAAGGTGGCTTCCAGAGATACACCCGTCGCCCGAGAGACACCCAAAGCCACCCTCCGGGATACCGGAGAGGGATCAGGACATCCCCAGGCAATCCAGATTCCACGGCAAACTACGCCACCACCAAGAACCTCAACGGAATGGGATGGACCCCGGTACCCTTTCCCCTACCTAGGAACTAGCGTGCCTGTGGAGAAAAAAAAAAAAAAAAAAAGGAAGGGCAAAAGGGAGGGGTGGGGAGGAAAGGAAAAAGGGGAGGATGGGATAGGGAATGGGGGGTAATTAGGTTCGGTCTGAGGAAGTAGACCGACAGGTCTAATTCCTCAGACCAAGAGCCTCTTCACCATGCCAAGGAGCCCCCCCTTGAAGAGGGAGCTTTTGCACATTAACTGGGTATTAGATATTTTTTGTCAAAGCTAATTAATACATGTCAAAGCAATCTTGTGCTTACTTTAATATTCCAATATTCCTAGCAATTTTCCTGCTCCCACTGCCTCTCCAATATCCCCCCCATCCTTTCTAAGAAATGTTCATCTTAATATGAAAGCTGTCATGTGAAGAGAAATCTCAAAAGTCAGCTCTACACCAAAACTCTTCTAGCCTTTGCAGACAGTGTTAAGTCTGTGCTTCTATACTTTCCTAACAAGTATTTTCAATCCTTGCCTTTATTAGTGCAATCAATTGCACTAATCTTAAAACACAGGACTAACCTTTATTTTCTTCACCACCTTTATCTTACTATATAAATGGTCCAAAATCAACTCTGTACAATTCCAGCTACAATTGTGGGCAAAGTGTAAATTTTTGCAACCACCATATTTTGACACTACATTGCACTTCCCAAAAAGTTTTAAAACTACACAAGAATGAGCAAATCCATGTTGAGGGGAAGGGGAGAATTTCATATACAAGCAGTGAATATTATCCCAAGCATAAAATATCTTAAAATTTAGTTTTTACCAGGTATATTTAACTTTCTACAAAAAATCACAAGGAACCAGATCAATAAGATTTGGAAGCTACAGCCATTCAAGAGGGCTGAAGGAAAAAAAATTTCCAGACTGCACCACTCCTGACCCCCAAATGTCCTGGGGAAGATCATCAACGACTGTACTGTAGAGGCGACCTCACATCGCCCTGCTCTGCTGAGTATAGGTTTCTGTGGACTTAGAAGTTTTTATACCAAAATAATTCCCCCCTTGTGTAGGAGGGTAATTTATATCCTTTGGTACTAATTAATGCCTAACTTCCTTAAATTAATTTAAGAATTAAGAAATTTATCTTCAATGAGGTATTTGAGTTAATTTTTTTTTTTTTTTTTTTTTTTTTTTTTAAGATAACTAGGGTAGCATTTCAAGATATAAATTTAACCCAACCTGTTATTTTTCCATGCCTAACTGAAGTGTCAAAACAAGCAAAATACAGTAATCAACAAATACATAGTACAAAATTGTATTTAAGAATTTTATATTCATAAAATATGAAATTCTGTACATAAAGCTAAGATTGTATAATAAGGAAGATTTAGTATCAATGTACATGCTTAATTTAACTAGTACGTATTAAGCACCCCAAAGATTTACATTTATCAATGCACATAATTTAACTATACATCCCCCTATAAGAAAAAAAACTTATGTATGTACAAACCTTACAACTAAGAATGTTTCCAAAGGCCGAGAAGGTGTCGTACATGGCCTTATTATCAATAGACTTGTCTAAATTTTTGATGAACACATTGCCAACACCAGATTTCCGAAGGGAAGGATCACGCTGGGACCACATGATACGGATGGGACGACCCTTCATGACATCAAAATTCATTGTGTCTAGTGCACGTTCTGCATCTGCAGGTTGTTGAAAGTTGACATATGCATAGCCTAGGGAGCGACGAGTGATCATGTCTCTGCACACACGGATGGACAACACAGGGCCAGCAGAGGAGAACTGCAAACATTGTAAATAGTTATTTATGTATCTGGTATGAAGGTAATGGAAGTAGCCATACAAAATAAGAGCTCATTATTCAGCTAGCATTTGTTTTCACCAAGACAACTTTAAAATTTGCCTTAAACAAAAACACCTAACAACTACATTAATGAATGTAAATATTGCATTAGACAAAACTGAAGCAAGAAAAGAGATCTCCCTAGTACTGGATATAAATACCAGAGAATTAAAAGTTTTGACCATTCACAAATTAGGCCCCCACAAAGCCTAAAAATGGTGCAACACTGCTTACTTGTTCCAGAAAGCTCAGATTAAGTTAAAATATTGGTAAATCATGTTACACTAACCAATAACTATACCCACTAATACGCTATAAAAGCGTTTACATCTCTAATTATCCTAAGAGGCACTTCTCTTCCCACAAGCAAAACTGCTTAAGTAAAATAATGTAAGAATTACTATTTGTATTCCTTTACTAGAGATCCTTAATAAAAGTACCTTCTCAAATAACATGCTTCTGTACAATCAGCATGGAGTCCCCAACATAGAGGGAGGCTAGAGGATAGCTGGGGCCACTAGGATTCATTTTGCAGCCAAGTCACACCTGGAAAAAAAATTTTTTTTTTTGCAAAGGTTTGATAAAGGCATCCTCCAACTGCAATCACACAAGTAAAATGACATTGTAAACAGTCAAATGCTTAAATTCCATTGTACACAGTAGCAGCACATGTCAGATTAACCCTTTGACAGTTTCAGGCCCCTTTCTGAAACTCATTCTGTCGCTAAATTTTTGGGGGAAAAAAAAATTCTTATGAAATGATAGAGAATCTTCTCCCGACGGTAATGACACCAAAAGTTCGAAATTTGGTCGAAAACTCGTGGAATTACGCTCCCACGAAGTTAGCGGTCTCGGCGACATATGCGTATCGGTGATTTCGCCGACTTTGAGCCCTATTTTCAGCCAATCCTTTGTTCCAGTTGACCAAACTCGTAGCTATTTCTTTAGAACCCCATTTTATCTATCAGCTGAGTACAAGAAACCTCCCATTTACCAATTTGGACTACCCAATATTGTGGTCAGAATTTGGCAATTTGGCCAATTTCACGCAAACTAAAAAAGATGCCAATTTCAAAATAGGGTCCAGAATAAACAAGGTAGACATTCTTGGCACTAAAATAACATATGCTCTGTTCATTAGTCACATCTTTAGGCCCCTCTTGTATTATTATTGCTTTCTATTTTGATTTTTTATTCATACAAAAATACAAAATTTACTGTTATGCAGACTACTGCATTATTGTAAAAATGGTATAAATAATATCAGTGCACTAGTGAAAGAATATTAGACTCCCCAGTTGACGTGTATTGGACGTGTGGTGTGATTTGTTTACTCCTGAACATTGGTAAAAATCAAACATTTCCACTACTTTGAGCTCAGTTTCAAGGTCGTTTTCATCGTCAAAGTAATGAAAATCATCTCTATTTCTGTAATATGTTTTCCATTTTATCACCTAATACCATGAAAACACAAATACATCGATAAATACTATAAGAAAATACACCTCAAAGTCGGCGTTTTAATACAAAAAAAAAAACTCAATTTTTTTTTCTCTCTCATTATGCACTGTGCTGCAGGATTTTTTTTTTATGTGGTGCACACTTACCACACAGACCCATTCTCTCACATGTGGGCCTACCAGCTTTCTTCCGCTTGATTTGAAGCCGCTAGAATTATTGAGTATATATACACGTCTGAAACACTGGCTCGTAAGACGTATATATACGACCAAAACAGTCAAAGGGTTAATGGGGACTGGTCAGAACTGTTAGCATTATTGACCAATAATTTTACAGTCAAAGTTACTGGGTCAAATAAGCACAATCCTTTTACCCCTACCATCCCAGGGTGTTAAAAACTTCTCTAATATACAAATTATTCATAGAACAGTAAACCCATAAGGGCCCAGTGTTGGGGGAAGGTGGGTGCATTCTAGTTCAATCCAAGGGAACAGTCTTGTGCTTCAGATCAAGTGCCTCGCCAGCATTGCTGAACCTTCCTTGAGGGCCCTAGTATGTAAATACTGCATTATCTAGATTGGCTGATCTTATTAGACCATGTAGCAGTTCAAGCACTGGCATGCTAATTTTAGGCTCGCCTTGCCACGAGATTAAATCTTGTCCAGTCTGAGAGCAGCTGGAAATAGTGTAGTATCTAAAGTCTTTGATAACAGACTCGCATTAATTGGGGAGCATTAAGTAAGGGTTGAGGTCATACAGAGCTTGGGGAAAGGAATGAGCATCTGGTTCAGACTAAGGAAGCAATAGACTAAATTCCACCACCAGCTGGAAAACTTTTTTGTGGTTAGAGGCATAGTTTTTGGGACTGGGAAGTGGAGATCTTTCCCCAGAAGAGACTACAGGTATGCTAACCTTCCTAGTGCACTAACAGCAAACCTAGATGAATGAATCTTGTTAGGCAAGCACTATGTACAACAGTTGTCTCGACACATTCCTGCTAGTTTTAGGACTAGCTTTTATGCTCAAATCCTGTCCATTACAAAGATCTCAACACTAATTAAAGTCTACCAATAATCAGCTATAAGCTGGTACTTCCGACTAGCAAAAATATTGAATTAAATATCTTCAGACTACTTTCTATCAAATGCCTAAAATTTTTAAACCAAAGCTTTAAATTTGCACGAGCATTTTCAAGTTCATAAAATAGTGTACAGTATATAAATTATAATTAGATTCCTAACTATATAACCCTTCCTCCCAGACTTGTCTTGCTTGTTGCAAGAAACTAGCAAGCCTCCTTTAATTAAATGAAAGTAATTTTCCTCTTCCATGAATTATGTGGCATGTGAAAGACATGGCTTTGATCATGTCAATTTGTGAGGGGGTTCTGGTCACACTACCCAAGGGAACTAAACTAGTCTGTCAGCAGTATCAGTAATTTTCAACTGAAAGGGTGTTTGGAGGCACAACTTGTGCTGTACTTTCCACTGTGCCCTTTAGTCACTTTTCTAAATATACACTGGTATGACTTCTCAAAATAATTCTTGGGCAGCAATCCTGGAAGTTGTGAACTAGGTAGAGTATAGGGTGGTTATAGAGGAGTTTCTGCAAGAGGCTCAGTGGAACTTAATTGTCTGATCTTCAAAACTGTCTATTAAGACAATTTATTATGCTCATCCCCATATCCAGCTGCTCGAGGGTGATGCCACCCAGTTTAACTTCGGCTAATGCCTGAAGTTTTAGTATTGTATTGGCCTTCATATGCAGCATGTACTACTACACAAGCAGTGCAGTAGGCCTGGAAAGTCCTTTCTTCAAATTAGTTTCTTGGAAGTTATTCAACAGCTCTTCATTTCAATGATATTGCTAGGTAATTTTATTCAAACTATTGCTAAACCAGTATTCTTATATAATTACTGATCTTATCTGCTGGTATGCAGAGTCAATTTTCCTCATTTAAATTAATTTAAATGCCATTAATCTATCAATTTGTGTAATATGACAAACAAATAAACCTGATATATCCTCTAGAATGAATAAAATATGTCATTATGTGACAAGTGGAGGTGGCCATTCCCATTCCCACATTGTTGTGGTATTCACTGCCATTTAGTGACAGCTTTTCAAAGCTTATTATAGTACACATTATAATTATAGTATTATATTGTACGTACATTTATTATATATTATAATGGGGAAGCGCTAAACCCATAGAATTATACAGCACCTGTGGGGGGGGCAGGAGATGGAAGGAATTCAGGCTTAATTTAGGGAACCGTGGCCCAGTGGCCTGGTGCTTCACTCGCAGAGGGCTCGGGTAGAAACATTTCAATGCATTTCCTTACACCTGTTCTGTTCACCTAGCAGCAAATAGATCCCTGGGTGTTAGTCGACTGGTGTGGGTCACATCCTGGGGGACAAGATTGAGGACCCCAATGGAAATAAGTTACAGTCCTCAATGACTCGCTGTTATCCTGGGCGGCCAACCCTCAGTGGTTAAAAATCCGAATAAAATCTTATCTCACAGCTCCCTAGATCAAGAGCCCCTCACCAGCATCAAGGAACCTCCCTTGAGGGGGGAAGCTTGCATCCTGAATTTTGGCTTTTATCCAGAAACAGAAGTAACCGAACGACTGCTCGTATCCTTGGGGGAAAAAAAAAAAAAACTCGCATGCTGGGGCACTTAAGCCGAGGTTCCACTGTACATATAAAATGAAATAACGCGTGAAATTTTGAGTTTCCACACAATGGAGAGACTGTGCTCACCAAGACTAAATAAGCATATTAGAAAGATTGGGGGAGCTGTATAGCGAGTTTTGGTCATAATTTTAAATGTCTGTACTGGCGCAATGCCGTCAAGCGGGGCCCTACTGTATTCAGTTTGAAACTAGGTATTTTATATTAATTTTAAACAGGAAAGCATATAGGAAACTAAGTCAGTACGAGTGGTTGCCTCTCAGATTATGTGCTGTACCTTCCTTTGTTCAACTTTAATCCAATGCTGTACTAATAACAGCAAGCCTTCATGTCACTCATGTTGCCGATTCCCTATGTGATGTACATACTACTTGTGTAGTTATCCCCAGCATGTTATACAAGCTTCCCTGTCCAGCTATACCAGTAACTGTTAGTCACATCCCTACATTAAGACCGTTAGTGACTCTGCTAACCTAACAAGACGTTCCGAAATCTCCGTGCTCTCCAGGGCACGGAGCAGTTGAACATAGGACAATGTAGCGAGGTCAGGCTCTGGTCCTGCGCATATCTTAATACAATGGACCCCCGGTATTCGATGGCATCAGTATTCGATAAATCCGATATTCGAGACATTATATCGCAAAAAAATTTCCTTGGTATTCAATTGAAAACCCGGTATTTGACACGAGTCATAAGAGACCTCTTCACATGTGGCCTGAACTGTGTGTGCCAGTGTTTACAAGCCAGCCAGTGTGCGCGCATCTAAGGATACATTCGGTACATTCCATATTATCCACACGTTTGGTGCTTGTTTCTGCAAAATAAGTCACCATGGGCCCCAAGAAAGCTTCTAGTGCCAACCCTGTGGTAAAAAGGGGTGAGAATTAGTATGGAAATTAAGATTTTGAAGGGTTTGGGGCTAACCCTGAGAAGCCTATACCAGTTGTGGAATACATTGTGCCTACTTCAAAAATTAAGGAAATGTGTGCACAGTGGGTTGAAGTGCAAACCTTTATGGATGAAAATCACCCTAACAGCTATTACAACGACAATGTTGTGGCCCATTTTAGACAAATCGTAAAGGAACGGGAGGTACAGAGCTCTATGAACAGATTTGTTGTGCAACAGAGGTCCAGCGACTCAAGCTGGTCCTAGTGGCATTAAAAGAAGGGAAGTAACCCTAGAAAAGGACTTGCTACCTCAAGTCCTAATGGAAGGGGATTCCCCTTCAAAACACTAACACCCTCCCCTCCTTCCATCCCATCAATCACCAGATCTCATTAAAGGCCTTCTGCAGTGTTCCTCCATTCTTATGTTATGTCAATTATTTTATTGTTATTGTAATTATTCTATTGCATTAAACTTATATTTCATTTAGTAAAATTTTTTTTTTCATACTTTTGGGTGTCTTGCACGGATTAATTTGATTTTCATTATTTCTTATGAGGAAAATTGATTCAGTTTTCGATATTATCGGTATTCGATGAGCTCTCAGGAACGGATTAATATCGAATACCGGGGGTCCACTGTATACGCTACCTAGAAATCCATCGAGTATTCTACCACCCATGAACCCATTAAGACATTCACAGTTTAAATAATAGTTTATAGGAACAGATCCCAGTAGTTCCAGCTCTGTATGCACCACCATACCTACTACATTATCAAAAATTGCTAAACCTGCAAATATGCCTATTACAGTGCTTTGCTATTTATATCTTATTCATTCATTGGGCCAAGATTTAATGCAACTGCCTCTATTCCTCTCCTTTCCATTAAAATGCCTTCAAAGAATGACAAGTCAATTAGCAATGTAAGAGTATTCAGTAAAAACCAATTAAACTACTACAAATTCATATCAAAGCTGAGCTTAAATGCTAAGTTACCTCTTCTTATAAAGGAGACTAGTTCCCACAGTAGTCGTGGGTGGAAGTAGCAGCCAGCACCATATCCAAAGCTATGGGTGGAGGGAGAGGGGTGAGGTAGTTTTGTACACAAGCCATTATATTTTAATAGTAAAGATTTTAACATTCGCACCAAATTTACAGTTTTCATTTTGCAACTGCTTAGCCATTCTTTAGCATGGATGAAGGGACAACTATTTAGGGAGTGAAGTAAACAAAATCTAAGGGTTGATGCACCACTGGTGCCATTTTTCCAAAAGGTTTATGTACACAAGGCATTAAAAATGCCATTGGAGTAGGCCATGTAATAAATGAACTCTTTACTCTTAGTCTTTTGTTTTCCACAGCAACCTTGCTTTTAAAGCAGGCTATGTTCAAACAAGCGATGAACTTCTGGAATTATTCAAACACTTCAGATAAGAGGCAATATCTTCAGGATTGGGGGCTAAGTGCAGGGACCCAGCAGATAACAGTTTACTAGCAATGCAGCATAACCAAAGTTGTATACAAAAAAATGACACAGAGGAGAATCAAATTTCTGGTTAGCCAGTAATGCACTACAGGAGTCAAACTACAAATGTTGAGGTAGGTAGTGATAGAAGTCAATTCAGTAAGTTGGAGACCAGAACCACACGGCATAAATTAATGAAGACCCTGCCAATGATATGAAACATTGAAGTACAATCTGTGGACTTCTTATCTTCTTTAATTCCCCCCCCCCCCCATTCAGTTAGAGACTGAAATTTAGTTTACAAGTGCCATGACTATCGTTTTTTTCCCAGGCTTAGAACCTTACAACTGTCTACATTAAACTACATCAGTCACTTTTCTAACCATTGCATTAACTTCTAGATATTCCTGTAGTGCTCATAAGTCAAAGTTTATCTGATGGCCCATTTTTGCATCATTGGCTAACATGTTGCCATTCATTCCATCTATGTAGTCCAAATAGATGTCAAACAAAGGCCCTAAGGCTGACTAAAATTAGTATGGAGTCTGAATGCTTTTAGATAATTTTTTTTTTTATGAAGTTTCAAAGGCTTTGGTGCATATTCAAGCTAAGGAAATAAATGGAATTCTTACAACTTTCTAAGAATGCCAAAGCATGGCAGTTTTTGGCTTTTCATGGAGAAAAACTAATATTTTTGGTATGCAAACAAATTAACAAGATTTGCAATACATGTACTCTCACTGCCAAAATGTTCCACTTGCACAGCAAAACTCAAATGCAGGTGAATGTAACACTGGTGATAAAATTTTGAGATGTCCCTCATCTTTGATAGCTGTTAGTCCTTAAGTTTGAAGGACTATCACTTCAAAATTACTTTTGACTGGTTATATTCAACTGTATTTAACTGAAGCCTACTATGAAGATTTAACGTTCGGTAAAAGATATTGAAATGTTGCAAATTTATTAATGGCAAGAGATTTTGGAGATTATTAACCTATAGGGTGGTGGCCCATGTCTTCAGATTTAGTTCTTGTGGGATCCTTTAATACTACCCACACAATGCAACAAACATCCAGGGAATAAGGTGAACAGGGGCAGAGGTATAATGAAACATTCTCAACATTTCCACTAGTCCAAGAATTTAACCCCAATCCCTCAAAGCTAATGAGTACCACCAAATGAGGCTGTGAAAGGGTTGCTGCCTTTGACAATTTAATGGAGGCTAAGATAAGCAAACTGCTAAAACTCCTAGATTACTGTAGGGACAAGAGGGTTTTTTTTTTTTTTTTTTTTTTTTTTTTTTTAGATTAACAAAGAATTGTTAAAGAAAAACTGTTGTTGGCCACTAGCTGAACAGCAGCATTTTAACATAAGAGATTTACAATATTATTCAATGGCCTTTAGAATATGCTGTGGCCACTAACTTGTAGAAACCATAACTCATGGGGATTATAATATTGGAATATGGGGATGAGGGGGTGGGTCAATTAAATTTGATACAAGGGGAAAGACTGGTTTGATCCTTTGGATCAAAAGCCTCACTGGCAGCAAGGCACCTGGCAGATTTAACTACATAATTAAGTTGCATCATATGGCCACTGGGAAAATTCTTAAGTCCTTCCCTCTGCTTGGCTTTGTGAATTTAAGCATTTGCAACATTACTTTCAAAAGTTTTTCAGTAACCCCATTCAATAGGTAATAACTATCCAGCAAGATTAGCTTTCAAATCTATCCAAGTTAGGAAGGTGGAAGGTTTGGCAACCATAAGAGATATCGAACAATATACGTACATATTAGGATACAAATGCTTGCTAATAGTTTTACTAAATTATGTGAGAAAGCTCTCCAAAGCCTAGACTAGAAAATAAGACTACCTAACCAATCAGCAACTTTGTAAGAGATCATAGCCACAGTAATATACTTAGGATAAGGCAATCATTCAAATATGCCTATGTAAATAAATCATTGGCTAGTTACTAAACTATTTTGTGTACTTTTCCATACATAAAACCTATGTACAGCACACCATGAAATAAATATTTCCTGAGCTAATTTTTATTTGAGGAGATCAAAGAAAATCAGAGGTTTTGTTTAAGGTTCAGTTAGGCAACATCTGATTAGGCTACACTTAATTTGAAAACAGAACCAATGTTTCCATTGGCCATGTACAAGATGCCTCTGTACCAAGATATATGAACGTTCATTTTACAATACAAGCTGTTTACCATATGAAATGGTTATTTCTTGGGTAAACTTTTTATGGGAGATTAGTAAATATCATACCTTATTCTGGCTAGAATGCACCATGGAGGGGGCCAACCAACCATTACTATTCAGCCACATGGCACCTGACCAATGAAGTCAGGAGCCAAGATAAGATTTCATTTGGGTTTTTAACCCCGGAGGGTTAGCCACCCAGGATAACCCAAGAAAGTCAGTGTGTCATCGAGGACTAACTTATTTCCATTAGGGTCCTCGCTCTTGTCCCCCAGGATGCAACCCACACTATTCGACTAACACCTAGGTACCCCTTTGCTGCTAGGTGAACAGTACAACAGGTACAAGGAAACACATCAAAATGCTTCCACCCGCCGGGAATCGAACCCAGGCCCTCCGTGTGTGAAGCGAGATCTTTAGCCACCAGGCCAACTAGCCAGTTAGTGAACAAAGATCATCAATTTCCAATCATGAAGCATTAATTTTTCACTGGCATAGAAGTATATTCACTAACACTTCAGCTTTGAAGGCTACAGTGCAAGTAGTGCTCTAGAATAATTTCTTAGGTGTGATTAGTTTGTTTGCCTATTATCTAATCCCAAATGGACATGTCACTGACTTTCTTGGGTTATCCTAGGTAATCTACACATGCTGCTATGTAATATCTATATACTACAAGTACATGGCATATAGGCCTAGCTGACATCAATGATTTACTATACTATGTAGAAAGCCGAAAATCAGTTTTGTCCCAGGATGCGACCCACACCAGTCTACTAACACCCAGGTACCCATTTTAAACTGACGGGTGAACAGGGACAGGAGGTGTCTTAGGGAAATGCATCCCTAATGTTTTCCAGCCGTACCAGAGGAGATTCGAACCCCAGACCTCGGTGTGCGAGCCAAGTGTGCTAGCAATCTAGCTACGGGCACCTAATATATAATTATGGAACTGTATTTGTATACTTTTACCTGAATAAAAACTTGCTTAACCAAGACAGGACTCAGCAATGGGCTCATGTTAGAAAAATTTATAACTTGTAAAAGGAAGCACTGGTTTGGAAAGTTGTGGGTGCGTGGAATGAACTCCCAAATAACATAGAAGCAAAAACCTTGGTAGCTTTAAAAATAGGTTAGATATGTACACAAGTAGATGCAAATTAGACCTGCCTAGCATGGGCCAGTAGGCCTGCCTCAGCTCTCCTTTATGAACATTAAGCTAATTTACTAATTTACTAAAAAAAAAAAAAAATATGCAGAGGAGCATTAAATAATTACCAAGCCTTCTGGTCTATGCAGGCTGCAAGCAGGATGAATAATAGGGTGTTTGAGAAAGACTTTCCTAGTATGAGCCAGTAAGCCTGCTGCAGTATGCCTCTTTTTAAACACTTCAGCATGCTTACTGGCCTTATAATGTAACCACACAAATACATATGCAGTGACACTGAAGAACAAAGGGGGCAACAAAATTAATCAACTGTACAAAATTTTATACCAAGATTGATGATCCTGGACCTGGACTTGGAATAAGCCAAGACAAGGCAGGTGCACATAGGTAAGAGGTTAGGATATCTAACAAAAGTACTGAACAATGGATGAAACCTAACCACATCCAGATTAAGAAGCATATGAATAATAGTTCTGAAGTAATTTTATTCAAGTGGAACAATCTTTACAGTAAAGATAAAATTAGCACCTTGTGTAGCTTTAAAATTATAGATTTGAACAAAAAAAAAATGTAAGTCTGGAAATGCCTACTTTCACTTTTCAAAGTGCAAGATTAGTAGAATGTAGAGCAAAAATGAAAAACCAGGGATAAAGACTAACAGAGTTAGGGAGAACAACTTTGCAGTACACAGTCAGTTGTCAGGCTTAAACACATTTTATTGTACAGTAATAAAGGAGTGAAGCAGACAACCAACACGTGTCATAGCACAAGCCAGTTCAAGAAGAGAGCTAAGAGGTACCTAATGGATGTACATACAAAAAAAAAAATTTATATCTAACATACGTGTATTGTAATCTGATCCTATCTTACTATTAATGTGCATAACTGAATTTACTTAATCCCTAGTATATCTCCTTTTATTATAACTTTCTACAGTTAAATTACCCTTTTAACTTTAAAGTTAAAACAATTATCACAGGGATCCCAATGGAAATACGTCACTGACTTTTTGGGGCTATCATAGGTAATCTACACATGCTATGTACAAAAAAAAAATTATACAACTTTATGCATACCCGTCCCTGAATAAAAACTTAACAGGACAATAGAAACTTTCCATGACTCAACAATGGATTAAAGTTAAGTATTTTATTTATTTGCGAGTTACGTTATTTACGATACAAAAAAAAATTACAATATTGTGAAATTTAAGACTAATTTCGTCAAGGATCAGTTCTCTTACTGTAACTGCGTACATGGGAGAGCTAAACCCGACGGGAGTAGCAACGCCTGGGGTAACAGCAGGGAATATATGGAAAGATGAGTCATGAGGTAACTCGTTGCTGGAGCTCCTTCACCATGAATTCAAAATGTTTCAACGTCTGGGTATCTGTTGCGGACGTTTCGCCCTCCAGTGTATCAATACAAATTCAAGGACATGAAACGGTATTATATACAAAATGAAGTAATCAGTCACGCAGCCTTCAAGACGGATTACCCCGTATTTTGTATCAATTTCTGCTGCCTTGCATTTGTCCTTCAATTTATACTGACACACTGGAGGGCGAAACGTCTATATATTGCACATACATAAAATTCTCGCTGGTACTGCGCACACACGTAGAAGAGGAAGGTAGTAGCTGAGAGAGTGAGGAAGGAGGTAGAGAGAGTGAGGAGGGAGGGAGAGAGAGAAATAATGGTAGTGTTCACGAGGCAGCGGCCGCCATGACACCCTCAACACCACCAACATATGGAACACATATACACGCATTTTAAACCACATAGCGACATTCTTATCATCACACGCAATTATAGGTGCTACCTCTTAATTAATTATTCACTGTAGTAGCACCAGAACAAATTAAAAAAAATATATATCAACTGTACTCACCAACAACGTCACGAACACAAACTGCTTGTATACTTCTGTTTCTAAAACCGTTTGCAATTTTTATGGGGGGGTTTTTTAGGTTATTTTGTAATTTTTTTGGTTATTTTTTTAATTTTATGACAAAGATTTTATCGAGTGGTGTGTGATACTAATAAAATTAGCGACACACAACCACACGTGAACAGACCCTACGTTAAATGAAATAGGGGTAAACCCAGCGCCCCGCGCACTTATATTTATAACCTTAGGCCGCGCCTCCCCCATCCCTCTCCGCGACACTAAGTAGGTAGGTAGGTAAGTAAGTTTATTTAGGTATAAATACACAGAAATATGATTACACAAATTATCATACGTGTTAACATTTGTGTGTATTACTTAGGATAACTTGAAAAAGTCAGGTAAAGCGGATTATTTCCATTGGGGTCCTTGTGTACTAACACTCTACCTCATAACACATCTCCTTTACCCGACAAATACCTTATTTATTTCGTATTTTTCCTTTTTCATATCCGCATTGAGTCTGTTTTCCATTTTTAGTCGTTATTAAAAGTTTATTCATGGGGTTTTTATATTAAATAAAAGTAAACAGAGCTTCGAAGTCATTGTGAAAGTGGTATCACTCCGCTCACATATCGCCTTTTTTTAAGTTGCTAGACGCACCTTATCTCCATTTATATAATCACTTAATATCTACAATTATCCAAGAATTTTGTCTTGTGGAATATAACCGGGGAATAAAAGTGAAATGAGAGAGTGAGACGTACTAATGAAATGTATAATGGAAGGTACATAAGAGGTTAACATAGAACGGTAGCTGTGTTCAAGGCCGCCAGCTGGAACAATATTATACCTTTTATTACGGAGTTTCAAAATGCTAATCACTCTTTTACACATTTTTTACATTATATTACGAGTCGCTGTACACAACACTATGTTCTCACATCGTTATATTAATGATAATCTTCATTTCTTTGTGCACGTACAAAATACTATTAATATAATCACAGGTATGTTGAAACTAAACGAATTTATATATATATATATATATATATATTATATATATATAATATAATATATAATATAATATATATATATATATATATATATATATATATATAATTATAGGAAGTACCACCTCTATAGCTGGAATGGGGACCCTCATCCTCAGAGAAGACAATAAACGTACCTCAGGGAAAACTCAAGGTTCTCCCCGGAGCTGTTTGAATGTTTTCTTCTCCTACCACCCCCTATATATTTTTTATTCTATGTGAACATTTATTAATAAACAAAATACATTTACAGAAAAAAACATAAACATGAATACAATGGCACAATGTATCAAAGATCATGAATTTCCTCCAGCTCCTCCGAGGCTGGACGTGAGCCAAGTATGCAGCAAGCATTTCCCCTCTGGATGGCGACGCTGAGGCGCTGGAACATGAAAGTGGCTGCCCTTGGGTCCCTGGTGGTGTCGATGAGTCTGGAACCCAATTCTTTAAGAAAACGTGTTGCATTTTTTCCCCATGATCCCAAGGTCTCTGATCCCACTGGGACAAATTGATACTGTTGGCTAATGTCTCTGTACTTGCTGATCTTGTACTCCTCCCTGTGGTCAGCAGCTCCTCCCTGTCGCCCCACACTGTGATGGATATAGGTGTCAGCCAGTGTGGACACACAGGTATAGTCCCATGCTAAGAGCTTGCCATTCTTCCAAGGATAGATGGTGATCCCGTCGGGGCGGTTTGCTGGGTTGTGGGTATTGTTTGCTGCAAGCGATCGTGGCTCCCTCTCGGCAGGGCATCCAGCTGTAGCAAGGGTTCTCTTAATGATGTCGTTGACCTCATTGTGTCTTGCATGCCAGCCCTTGGTTTTGGAACAGTTAAGACCATGTAGACCGTATTGGTCTGCTTGCACTTCGCCGCAAATACACAGGCCCGGTGGCCTGGTGGCTAAAGCTCCCGCTTCACACACGGAGGGCCCGGGTTCGATTCCCGGCGGGTAGAAACATTTCGACACGTTTCCTTACACCTGTTGTCCTGTTCACCTAGCAGCAAATAGGTACCTGGGTGTTAGTCGACTGGTGTGGGTCGCATCCTGGGGGACAAGATTAAGGACCCCAATGGAAATAAGTTAGACAGTCCTCGATGACGCACTGACTTTCTTGGGTTATCCTGGGTGGCTAACCCCCCGGGGTTAAAAATTCGAACGAAATCTTATCTTATATATTCTGTGTGAATTGGGGCAGCAAGGCGCAGAGCCACTGCAATACGGAGGGTCTTAGGGTCGAGTCGCGTTCCCATTGCCGATATGGGAACTGTTTGGAGGAAGTCCCCGGAGTGAGGTGCACTCACAGCCTGGAGACGGGCAATCTCCCTATCTGATGTTGCAGCCCTGAGCATGTTAGCAAGCACCTTTTCAGCAATTGGGCCATCCCAGCTTGACTGTTTGTGAGCCAGTGCTGCACTAGGGTTTGGTGCTGGAGCAGCAAGAGTCTCCCATTCGGTGATGGCACTGGCATAGCTAGGGTCTTCTATTCCTGCTGAGTCACTGAGGGTGTCAGGAAGAATTTGTCTTATCAACTCGTTTGATGCAATGGAAGAGGATAGGAAAGCTGGTAGAGCAATCTGGGAGGATCTGCGTACTCCTAGCCCTCCAAGCCTGACCGGAAGTGAGGCTTGCAACCATTGTCCATCGTCAAGGGAAAGATTCAATACACTCTCTAGCATGGCCTTCAGGAGAGAGTCATATTCCTTGAGTTTTGGACTGCTGAAGGCTGGGGAGCATCTCAGAAAATAGGTAAGTTTTGGGATTGACAGGCACCTGGTGAGTAGGTAGAAGGCATCATGTGTGTCAAGGTCTTTCATCCTGCTTTCCATCGTCCGGAGGTCTGAGACTTTTTTTCCTAGGATCAGATCGATGGCATTGGACCCAAGAGGAGCACCGAGGAGAGTGCTATTTATTTATTTATTTATTTCCAATTTGAGCACACATACAGAGGTACAAAAAAATACAGATAAGAGCAGCATGCCAAAGCCACTTATACTATGCATAGCATTACGGGCTATTGGCTGGATCAATAGCTCGTGCTCCTGGTAAAACGGCACTAATATTCTGGATCATCTGTTGATTGGTAGAAACTATTTCACATTTGGTGGGGTTTAAAGAAAGGCCCAGACTTTCTCCCATGTCTTTAATTTTACTGATGTCCTCTAGGAGAGATTCTGTTGTGCCAGCTAGGGTACCGTCGTCCAGGAACCAGATATTGAGCTCGCTGGAGAGTGCCTCTGTGACTTCCTTGATGACCAAACAAAATAGAAAGGGGGCGAGAGGGTCCCCCTGTTGCACGCCCTCACACAAGTCAATTTCATGGTCCCCAAACAATAGTTTGGAAGTCACACTATAACACGATTCTATGAAGGGATAAAGGGAAGGGAAGTTTCTATAAACTGCTTGGAGAGCAGCATCCCTTCTGAAGCTCTCAGGATTATTCTTGGCTGTCCCAGATCTACAAAAGTTCTTAACATGAGGAAGGAGCTTGGTATTTCTAGTATCAGTGATAGGATTGTTGAAATTAACACTGTACTCGGTATTAGAATGTTGAGAAACGAACCAGACACTGTCACAGTGAATCTTACCAAGTGTCTAGAGGTAAATACACACAGATCTAAATGGATTGTGAAAACGTGCAATTGCATTAAGTTTTATAACCTACATGAACTGTATCACTGTAGGCAACAAGAGCATTTCACCCCTCCATGGAAGATGTGTTCATTTAATATCACATACCTACAAGTCCCTCCCAAGAAGCTCATTGCTAGTAATCCCTTCCTTAAATCTCTTGTTAGAGCAACTGCTCAAGAAGAAATTTCTCACCTAGCTGGTAGTAACAAGTTATCACAAGTTATATACACTGATGGATCTAAACAGGAGTCTTCTGGCAGGGCTGCATCTGCTCTTGTTGCCACCTCCCTAGTTAAGAACGATAATAAATTTGTTGAGTTAGGCATAAGAATTAACAACTGGGCGTCTACACTGCAAACTGAATTGTTTGCAATCCTAATGGCGCTAAAGCTAACCTATGACACTGAGCTTGACTCTATCATCATTACTGATTCTATGTCATCACTGAAGGCTCTTGACTCATATAATGACTCCAACAACATGCTCATTGGGGAAGCCAGGTATAGATACTCAAAAATTAGGGACAAAGGAATTAATGTACAATTGCTATGGATCCCATCACACATTGGATTACTCCTTCATGATAAGTTGATATGTTAGCCAAGAAGAGTATCGAGAAGGAGAATGTAGAATATAACTTTGGTATAACTGTGTCTAGCATTAGGAATAATATTAGGAGAGAAGTAAATAATGAAAATGATTGTTATAGGAGTGCAGTTAGAAGCCTGAGTAGATCTATAACCCACTATGATAACATGAACGTAGATAAGTATGTTTATGGAGCAACTTGCAATGTGAACAGACTGACTGATGTTGTAGTGGCCAGGCTTAGGCTTGGTTACAAGTACTTCTGGCAGTTTGGGAGACACACAGATTGATGATCAAACTAAATGTAAATTATGTGATCAGGCATATGGTCACTCTCTTGAACACTATGTGCTTAATTGTCCACTTATTGAGGAATACAGAGACAGACAGTATAATAACCTATGTGACATGTCAAGATATCTTATTAATGAAAATAAGATACCAGATATACTAAGCAAATTTCCTAAATTTGCTTGTAACAGATAAGTGAACTATAGATATGTAGATATAAATCCATATGTATTCCTGTTAACCCTTTGGGGCCTAGTTCCTAGGCCTTTTGTGTATCCATATGCTCTCGCGCTACCGTCCACAGGATGGATATGGGGTGCACAATAAACTAGCCACTTCGGTGGCAAAATCTAAATCTAAATCTTCTGACTGAGTTGAAAGCATTGGCAAAGTCCAATTTGACCAAGGCTTTTTCATAGGACATGTTTTTGATATATACTCGTGCTGCGTGGGCAGCTGCTTCACAGCCCTGTTGAACGCCGAAACCGAGCTGAGTTGGTTTCAGCATTGCAGCAGCCTCTTGACTCACCCTTCTTACTGCAGCCTTGGCGACTAGGCGCCGAAGGGTGTTACCCACTGCAATGGGCCTGATTCCGCCATCCTTTTTCCGGAGGGCACACAATGAGGCACCAAAGAAAAAGGGTCTGATGGCCTCTGGGAC